CCTTCTCCACAATCGGCCATCGCTCGCTTGACCCACGGAACGCGCCGCTCAAAAAAGCCAACGGCTCGTGACGCTGATCAGCAGCGGCCAACGCCAGGTCCTCCAGCGGCACCTGCGTCGCTATCGCACCCCAGAATCCTTCGCTGGCGTCCGTGTACAGACACACCATCTTGGCAGGATCTGGGTGAGCCAGCGGAACCTTCCGCTTCAGGGTCGTCTTGACTAGTGTTGCATTTAGAATACTTCCGAAAAAACGTCGTTTTATAAACGTTTTAAAACATTTCAGAAACGTTTAGAATCGTTCGATATTGGACTTCACGCCTAGCCTCACCTAGGCCGCCTGCATCGGATCTACAACTCACTCATCCATGACCAATTCCTCACTGTGCTCATCGTCGCCCAAATATTGGTCGAGAATCATAGCTGGGTAATCAACATTGCGGAATTCGTCATCCTCACCGTCTTCCATATCCTCCTCGTCCACTTCTTCATCTTGCTCCACTCGATCGTTGGCCATTGTCGACCCTAGTGGCGGCCAGCTGCATTAAGTACGGGTCATTGCGCCTCTTACGCAACGCCCGCTCCAGCTGCGCCGAATTGAACGCGATAGCTACCTGGCGTTCGCACTTGCCACTGCCGAGGCGAACGCGCTGCTAGCTCCGAACGCGATTGTTCGTCTTGTGATTGCGCTATCCGCCGACAGCGCCAGCTGGGTTGCTGTGGACCTCGACGAGCACATTCGCCAGAACAGCCAACTCCTCCTCGTCGCACTGCGCCGAGTGCAGGTGAGTTCCTTCAATGCGCATGGCTTAAAAGTACGAGAACTGCTCCAGCAACACATCACGCGTGATGCCGCGCACAGAGGCAATCCGCTCCAATGCCACGCGACACTGGCCCATCAACGACTCCTGGCCCAGGTTGAGGAATGCACCGCCATGGATACTTGTCATGTTCAGGCGCAAGGCGTTATAGAATGGGCCGGTCACGAACGCGAGCCCATGCGCAGGCGCCAGACAAAGCCATCGCGAAGGAAACACTTGGAATGTACAGTAATACAACTGCAGCGCAGGCTGGACTGCGAAGTCCGCAGAAATAGCTGGACCGGAATAGAAGATGCCCATTTTTTCGGACCTTTTTAAATTACTGCATTTAAAATGTTTTATCAAATGTACGCAACACTAGTCTTGACCCGCTCAAAGTGTTCAAGGTGATCATCGCACCATCCGACGGAACTCAGAGCCACCCGGGTCAGCGCGGTCTTCTTGCGGGAGTCCGCCGCTTTGGCCGCAATGTCC